ATTTTATCATATTATTCTAGACGGATCATCATAGGTTCATGAGATTATTGTCATACATGTTTTCAATCAATGGAAAAATCTTTGATTGTGTAATACAATACAAAATAATACAAGTGCAGAAGGGCACGGTGCCCATTTGAGCCGTGTCCATATTTTGTTAAATTAATAGTAGTTTACAGCAAACTGGATAAAACATTTTACAATATTTATGTAATATGCGTAGGATTTAGAAATTCGTTAAGCTGGAATACTGCAATATACTGCACACTTAACAGAGAGGTTACTTCGATGTATTCATTCAGCTTAGTGAAAACATAATATAGATATGTATAGAAATAAGAACTTGAACTCTTAGATAGCTTTTGAATGTAATTAGACTAACCGTCGATTTCGACGGGTTTCACCTAGTAGTAAAAATTTGCATTGGTCTATGCATATTTGAACAAATTCCAATTTGGAGGTAAAAGACCATAATTTGTAACGATTGTATTTACTAATGCATTATTCCTCATTTCCTAAATAGCTGCATGTACTATTTACATTCCCCAGTAAGTAGGATGACGAATGTTTCCACAATGGATTACCTGTCAAATTGTCCTAATGGCCCAGCTGATGCAGTGGTGTGAAGGGACTTCCACGGTACTGTGACCAAATTAAATTATAGTTGTCATTTTACAACGTTTAGTGATTGAATTTAGGTTTACCATAAAGTGTTGATGTTTTTAAAAATGATTTGTTGTTAATTAATTCAGTTTTACCTAATCATGCAGGGTTATTTGATTAAAGTATATCGTCAGTTGTTAAACATATGAAATTTGTGGCGGGGTTTGGAGTTGTGGATTATCTCTAGTTCTAAAATAAATACAAGATTTATTCCATAGCTATAGAAAATAAGATACAAAAACAGTGGATATGTATAAATTGACCATCATAATATTAGTTATAGATATTATAGTTTTGTATATACATTATAGCTTTTATAGATAGGCTACTGCAGAAGGTGGGGCCACCATCCGCCTATTGTCACTATAGCTTTCATAAATCACAAACGTTGACGAATTAGTCTCACTTAATATGATTTCAAGGCTTGTTTACATAAGAATCCATCCACTCAATAGTACAAAAATACTATCCATACAACAGTATATTATATTATTACAGTGATACAATCAAATTTTATGTAAACGGTTAAGGCCATTTACCAAATAAAAATATAGGCATATGGCATATCAAAATGAAGCTTAGAGTGTGTAGATTTTGCCGAAAAGTATTGATATGGACGAACTCCCTAAGGGCTCTGCCCCACAGGCTGATTTTCAAAAGGCTACGCCTTGCATGTCTTGGAAGTTATTATTTGATTAATTTAGTGAACAACAGCTGGCCAATGCAATCGACAATATAGTTTGTTTGTTTACATTTTTGTTTACTTATTTTATTATCTATCTATAATATTAAAACAAACCGTGTTTTTTTATTTCACGATTCTGAATCAACCACTCGACGGATTTTCATGATTTTTGTGTTGAAAGATAGATAATTTTGAGAACTAGGGAATGTCGAAGCCATAATTTTAGTTTAGGGTCCCAGTTTTTTAGAAATTAAGTTTTAATTTTTAAAAGGTCTAGCAGCCGACGCTAAGATTCTAAACTAGCTTTTGGCATAAAATAATTTGCTTAACATAACAGCTGTAAACATTCAGCTTTTGTGTCACAAATTCAGCATTTGGATAAAAATGGAAAGACATACTTAGGGTTGACTTATTTATACTATGTGTAATGCTAATCATTGATACATCCAATTCTTCTGTAAGAGGATGACAGATTAATTAAATATAAATAGTAAAATACTAGGATGTTCAAATAATTTTTTAAAGCAATCTTTGTAATCTTCGATTTGTTTTAGAGCAATATAATTTCTTTTAACTAACAGCTGGTTAAATATAAACTATGGAACTATGAGGTTATTTATGTACTCTTATTTTGTCATTGATTATAGGAAATAAGTAAGATTAGTAGAGATAATTAGACCACAGTTTAAAATAGTTTAGACCAAAATTAATTAAACCACGGTACAAATCAAGGCTCTGTACACGAGTATTAATAAAAAAGGATAAATGCAAATTATTTACTGCTCCACTTTTCAAGGAAAGATTAGAAAAATAACAGTGTTTACATGTTTTAATTCTTCATGGTAGCTTTCTGTTTACAATTGATGTTTGTCTGCTTTAACTTTGTTTGGATTAGGCCCGGAAATATTGATGTCATAAAAAGAAGATCAAGAATAATCAGGAATCACGATTTTAAATTACCACCACAACCTCAGCCGGGTTTTATACAAAGATAAACAGATGGATGACATAGATTAAACACAACGTCAACATTGACCTAGGATACTGCAATTAGACAAACCATCCTTTTATGAAATCGTGTTCAGTTGTGGTTACGTTTGGGGGTGCCTATATCAGCGCCCCCAAACGTGAAAATATCACTTTTATTTGAACTATGAATATACAGTATTGTAGTTTAAATGAACTAATATGGGAAATTACGATGTACATTTATTCGATGAGGGTGGGTAATTATTAAGGATAGAACTGATAACGGTATGGATAATAAACATTGACAATTACGTCATTAGCTTTACTAGCGTGTTTACTTTTTATATTCCTGCTACATGTGACCACTTCTTTTTTTCAAATGAATGTTATTTGAACCAAACAGCTGTTTCAAAAAAAAAATTGTTATTGTTTTTACTTTTCTTTGTTTACACTTATTTATTTAGCAATTAATTTATGTTAGGACACCAAAGTTAAATTATGTGTACTATGAATTTTATTGGATATTATCGTTTTATTTTAGGTCGTTTCTATTCAGACCTACTGGAAATTGTGTATAGTAGTTGTATTGTGGTGATAATAATTATGGAAGAGGCAGGTATGCGATGGAAGGTGGTATCGTTGACTATACACTTCTCAATTGACTATTACTCTCTCTACTATAGGCTACTTATAATCAGTCTGTGCGAATCGGCTGCAAATCTCACTTCAACGCTTTTCACATCGTAAAAATTGCAGAATTGCTGTTTTATTTTAAAATTATCGGATTTAAAATGCATATCGTATAGGCCTATGATGGAATAAAAACATATTTGGTAACACAACATTTGTTCACAAGATGATTTTTCACATTAAAACTGCAAGAAACTTTGTCTTTATATGTGTAAACTAGCTGATCTGAATTGTACACGGTTTTAATTGACTACTGAATTCCCGTACGTAGGACGGGCTAACACCTCGTTTACTTTTACGTTCTTAAAAGAGTCGCGGTGAATGGACAGTGAAGCTATTTATAGCTGTTTGTTACAAGTGAGTAACTAAAGGTGTTCGAACCATGATGACAATGAGATTAACAAACCATGTATGTTGTTCGTTCCAAGAGGTTGTCACCGATCTTTAACAGATCGCAATTTCATTGAAAAGTATTAAAGATGTCGTGAAAGAGAGCTGCGTGTTCAGGTACATCCTCGGCCAACCTTAGGACGTAAGGTATGAAGGTTCCACTGCCTTTAACATCCTTTCACATGAAAATTTCTCGAACTTGGGCCCTTTAAATGAAATATAAAGTCAAAGTTGATTAAATTAATTTAATTGTGGTTTCTGTTCACCCGTGAATTCACGGGTAGAACCTCTTGTTTCAGTTTAAAGTGTGAATTGTAGTTTAACAGCTGAATGTACATTCGTAGTACATTCATTCAGATAATTTAAACAAGAGACGTAGTATAAAAATAATGATAGGCCTACTTTAATTAAATTACAGTCTGGTGTAAGGTAAACAAAAAACTGCAGTGTTTAAAATAATGTTTACCTAAAAAAACTTCTGGTAGTGTCCTATTTACAAGCAAATACAAAGTGAAAGTAAATAACAATTTGTTATGTAAAAACCAGATAAACACTAAGTATAAAATACGAAATTAAAAACTAAACCAATGTAACAAGAGACAAGTATGTTATAAAAATGTGTTTAAACTATAATCCTATATATTAATTAACAGTATGGTGTATTGGTACAACAAAATATTAAAATTAAACTTGTAACTGCAGTGTTTAAATGATCAATTACTACAAAAAGGCTTCTAGTGATGTAGATATTTACAATCAATAAAAGAAATTTACAGTTTGTTATATACAAAATCAGAAAATTCAGTTGGATGGAATTAAATGCCCCTATGCATTTCATTCAACAATTAATTAATGTAATTTGCAATTTAATAATTGGAACACACAATTCAACATTGTGCATTTCCAACAAAAATTATGTTGGATGGAATTAAATGTACTGTTGTTATTAGGTGAAATAACACAGAACAATAAGTATCAAAATTAAACTTTTAAGGCCATGTCACACCGACATCCGCCGCTCCCGCCGCGGGAGTACCGCGCGCGATGTTTTTCCTCGAGCCATGTCACACCATGTCGCGCCCGCGGCGGGAGTTTTGACATGAGGTCATTACAATTCGTTTTACATAAGAAACTCATCTTACCTGTTTAGTATTTCATGTAAATTTGCAGGTTTTAAGTAAAGTGTTTAAGAAGCAATTGAATGTTTATTGATTTGTTAGTGTAGGGCTGCTTTAAAAAGTGAATAACTATTTTTTAAATTTAATTTAGACCTTGTGTTCGAAGCATTTTAAATATGGTTGTGGATAAATTACTGGAGTGTAATTAATAAGTGGATAAATCCACTTTCAGCTTTTGAACGTCATTTTTCGCTACACTACAAAAACTATTTACTTTTTAAATACAAACAGATGACCATTTAAACAAAATTGTTATTTTTTGCTAAGCCTTCTATTGAAAGTTCAAGTTTACATTGATTGTAAAGTGCGAATTATGACTTAACAAAGTTCATATAAATTTCAGAGGAAATAAACTTAGTAGTCAAATGCTAATAAATTAAAAAAATATTAAATTATGTTAAAACTAATCTTAAATCACTACTCACCTTTTGGTTTAGTCAAAATCGACTCTCATGCATTGGTTCCATTGGTTTAATCTGGAAACAGATACATCGGCATAAACGAACAATCACTTTCCGATTTTCAGTTATTCTCCTTATGTACTAAATAGCTGATGGAATGTTTAACCTTAAAACTAAATGCACAGCTCGCAGCACATAAAAACAATAACGTAATTCAGGTTTTGATTTTCAAAAGGATGTGTGATTGATTGGGGGAGCGAGCTGGTCTAGTGGTTAGATCGCGGGACTTTGGTCTAAGAGGTCCCGGGTTCAAATCCCGCCAAATCACCAATGGATTTTATCTAAGTGAGAATGCCACAACCCCTAGTTCTAGCCTAAAGTAACGTGAAAAACAAACCCAGGCTCGTGCCTAGCGTCCTAGTACAAACAAAAACCTATTGATTCAAACGTTTTAAATTAAAAGATGCCCAAAATATACTAATTTACAGAATGGATGCCCAAATAGTGTAATTAAATATTAAACTATCTTCTTATAAACTTATCTTCTATCAAGTATAAGTATTTTAGGTATGTTGATACTTACTCGTACGCTACTCAAAGGAAACATATTATACAACGGATACTCAATGAAATTGCGTTATTCAACAGACACTTTGATCATAAACATTTACTGCATGTGTTTCTGAATGAACACAAATAATAAGGGATACCTACTCAAAGAGTAAATATTTCTTCAATGGATTCAAATTAACTCCTGGATTTACTAAGTTTGCTCAATGCACAAGGACTTAGTCTAAAGATAGTGAAACATATGTACTGAAGACTTAAATTTATTCAAATGCCAATTACTCACAAAACATTTAACTAAATGATGAGGTTTTTTATACACTCATGTATTTGATACAAAGGAATACTTGAACTTGCCGTTGTTTGGAATCACAACCGAGTTTTTAGCATTGCAGTAAAGAAGGTCAGGTTGTTTCCCTCAAGGCATTGTGTATACAAAATGCATGTGGAACTATAACAACTCCCTCTCCAGGGTTTTCTCAAGAGAGGATTCTGGGCTTGTTTCTTTAGCTTTACTGCTTAGATATCGATATATCGATAGCTACTTAGTCGTTTGTTATCAGATATAAAACAATACTTCAGAAATAACAAACCTAGTTTACAAGTTAGTTATAAACTAATGAAAATAATTATTTTTTTACGCATTTTTTAGTTTTAGTGCATTGGTCAATATTAATGGATACCTTCAAACTTTGAGCGAATTAATATTCAAATGCAGTACATTGATGAATTAAAATAAAAAAATGTTATAGCGAAGGCATATACGTTGTAGTAGAATAGATCGATGGCATATATGTATATGCCAAAAAAAGTCATGTGACTTAGTTCACAACACGAGTATTTTAGATGTAAATACAATACCCAATCATGTTCTGTTTTTAACTAACTACCTGTACTTATTCAATCTATCTTCAACAAACGTTAATTTATCAAAGTCTTGACGTGTATATTCCCTAATGGTAAATTATCTGATTCCCCATTCAGCTACGACTTCAAGGAAAGAAAAAAATGCATCAGCAAAAATGTATGTTTTTCTTAATTTTGTACCTCATAATTATTTCATAATTTTCCGGCTTTTAGATAATGAAATTTAACACAGGTAAAAAGTATTGGCTACAATCGTAAGTTTTTTTTCGAAGACTGTAATATTTTAAACAATTCTCAAATTATGCACCAACACGTCATATAAGATCATGTAACTTCCCTAAAAAACAAAACAATAGTTGTCTACGTCCCTTTTTCCTATACACTAAATCTGAATTTGATTTGTCTATATTGTCTATTATCTAAATTTGCCCATACACTGCTCCATTTGAGCTTAATTTAGGCACATATTCTAACAACATTTTCGAATAAATGTTAGCAGTGAACGCACGCTGAGGAAGACAGGGTGGGAGTGGGTAAGGGTGAAGTGGAGGGGGAATTAAAACCCCCCTTCGCAGAAGGCTGAGGCCCTTATATTCGAAAAGAGGAGGAAGTGTGTTATTTTAAAGCTCTGTTGAAATACGCCACAGAATGGTTGAATTAATTATATATTGAAATTAAATCTATGAGGTAGTATAATTAATTAGTAAATATATTTTCAACGTTACAGTATAAGTTCAATAAGTATATTTTTTATTCTTACGTGATAGCAGTTAAAAATACATTACCGTACAGCTAGATGACTTTACTGTCACCTAAGTATCAAAAATATTCTTACAGATAATTAACACTCATTCGTCTGCTTATGCCCCTTAACTCTAAGGTGGTTTAGAATCGTGTAAGTTTAAATTTAACGTACGACCTAAATAAAATTATCAAATTCTTTTTCAATTTTTAATTACTTTACATGTTTTTCTCAGTGATTCGTTCATAAAGCAGGGTGTGTACTGTTTATTAGAAAGGGCTCAGGAATTTCGGTTTTGGCTCAAATCCCGCCTTTACTAGATATAAAGTCAATGCTAATGGCTTGCGAGCTTTGGTGTAAAACCTTAACCTAGTTTAAGCCTAAATCTAGAAAAAATCAATCTTTCAGGCAAGGTTAACTTTCTCAGTATTTAAAAACTGGTCAAACCAAAACCACTTGATTCTTCTATTTAATTACATTACGAGTCACAAAACCCTTTCGCAGGGTATTGGAGCGTCCCCGTCTCCATAGCAACCTTAGTAATTACAACACAAGGTGACATCTGTGTCAATACGTGTTTCCTACTTCTGCATTACGACTTAAGAATTTCACAAAGCCCTGCGTCGTAATGACTTATCTGTGATTACATTATCTCATTCAGGAACAAAAATAGTATTTTGTCTTGTACAGAATAAATTAAACGTGGTGCAAAATATGTAGATTCCTATTTCTTCTCCAAGCGTTCAAGTACAAAAGAGGTTAATAAACGTGAAAATGTATGTAACACAAGTAGTAACCAGTTGCAGTTTAGTTTCCAATTAAAACACGGGAGTAAGAACATATCTAGCAGTGTTGAATTACTTTTTAAATTTTATTAAAAGGATGACATGCTTTTGTACCAGCTAGTGTGCTGTTCAAGGATTTCATAAAACCAGGAGGGATCGAACCAAGTTCCCGAGTTCAAATCCCGCCAAATTAAGCTTCATAGTAAAGCGTGATGCCGTGTTGTGTAGTATGGCTCTATGCTGGAGCCTAGTTTCCTAGGATACGACAGTGGGACATAAAAGCAAGGTAGATTAAGTTTAAACTTTTAAATGTGCTTTTTTACCACATTCATTTAGTCTCTATCTCCAAGAACTATACAATCCATTTGACAGTTTATCAAAACATTTATAGTTTCTAAAGCTACACTCTGGCAAAACGTAGTTTCAATTAACCGTCGGGTTGGTGGAGCAGAAGGGCAATTAAAACCGTAGTTTTCCCTCAGAGATTCAAACCAGGACACGCTCCAGCATATAAACCTCCGTCAGGGACATGATATTGATGTCTCAAGTTATAGAAATATATTAAAATTATAGTACTGCAGATTGAAGATGGGGGAATGAGAATATTTTTTAAGGTAGAAGATTTTTCAAATTTATTAAAAGAAATAAGTTGTTGCTAGGTATGTTTGTTAGTTACCTGAAAATACATATTCTGGCTTTAATTTTATAAGTACCCTAGGCCTATTTGATATTTTTATTTTATGAACATCATTCCTAATACTTCCAAAATAATTATTTGGTCGTAAGAAAAAATAATGGGTTAAAAAGTTTGACAAAAGGATAAGGAATAACGATCTTGCTCGTGTAAGTCGCGTAGAGCTTTTATAACTCGATATTATTTTATTTTTGTTTTAATAAATAGATTATTGAATAGGCCAACACAATGTGCTATTACACCAATTTAATATTAAAATTATTACATTTAAGCCATAATATGGTAATATTTCCCCGTTCTATAAAACTCAATACTTTTGTGTCCAAAGACCAATTCAGAGTTTGTATTAATTTTACGGGAAAAAAATAAAGAAACGTCTTAGAACACTTAAAACATATATTTACGCTTATACTGTTACTCACAAGACGGTAAATATACAAAAAGGTGGTAAGTGGTGATCGATTTCGATTGGACACTCCAATCATCATCAGACCCAATAGGTGAATGACCATTTTGATTAAATTTAATAACACGTACGATGCTGATCAATAAGTTATTTATTAATTATACTAAATTTATTATTTCTATAATTATATTTCTGGTTCCAACATGTAGCATTTGTTCAATTTAAACAGATTTGCTTAATGGTTAAAGCCAAATAGATTCAATGTGATTGGTAAGGCCTTTTAAAACCAAGGTGGTATTAGGTTTTAGGTGAATTTTTAATTGGGAGTCATATTTTTTCCACCGTGGGGTTGTAGCTTAGTTGCTTTCAACTATCCACATAAATAGCCAACAACTAATAAAAAATTACCAAATGAATCTATTTTAATACAACCAATCAAGTATATGTTTCTAGAAAACAGTAAAAAGTGAAGAATTACAGTAAAATTTGATCTCCCCTAGGAATATATTTAATATGTGATATAAGAGATTTGGATTATAAAAGGAACAAACGTCAGCCTACTCCAGAGACCTAGATAGACTCGGATCGATGTTGAATGACGAAGAATACTTGCAGTTGACACGCAAATGGAACCTGCTTGGACAGAACATCATTTATTCAGACCTTAGAGTGCTGGTATTCAGTGTATGAACTGAGCAAGGAGAATGTATACGAGCATTGAAATATCATAACGATATATTTGCAAACTTGTATGCTCACGTGTTCGAATATTGGGAATGTATCCTATGTACTAGTTTTATGAAATTGTATTCCAAGTTTTTAAGGTAATTCGTATTACTCTTAGTTTGATCAAAATATTTGTTTTTTTTATTGTCTTTAAGACAACCTTTCTCATTCACGTTGGGCTTTCTAGTTTGGTGATTATAATGGTGATCAAAATCCAAAGGTCCCCGGTTTGAATCCGAGAAAAGTTCCAGCTGTCCTTGCTTTCAGTAAAAGGTCCACTAAAGAGAC